CTACACCCAGCATTGTGACACTAGTAGAGTAAGAGACATTAGAATGAACCTCACAAAAGTTCACCCAACATTCTCATGTACCACATGTAGGCCCTCAAGATCTGCCTCTAGGACTAAGTATACAGGGGTCCAAAACTATCACAAAAGTCTGAGTAGTGCATTTCATGAACATAAGACAGCAGTCAGTGTGAATGATAGATGAACATTGTCTAGCACTGTCCTAGACAGAGAATAAAGGGGGCAGGAGGGGGAAAAAAAAAACCTTTACATGATCTCTGTGTCCCTTAATGTCATAAATTTTCTGTTTCTTTGCTTAATTTAAAAGGGGTAAAGGGATAGAGGAAGGGAGGGAGAGAGAAAGAGAGAAAGAGAGAGACAAGCCCACCCTCAAGACAGACGTGGGCAAGAGACGAAAGCTACCACTAATGAGAGAAATGAACCCTTCCTGAGACATCCTTAGTGTCAGGGTTTCTAAGTGGTTCAGATAAATCTATGTCAGCCTAACATTTCATTTTGTTTTTTTCTCCCCTTTGATCCTCAGAACAACCCTCTGGGACCAGCTATTACCTCTATAGTCATTCAACCACAAAAGCTCTGAGAGGTGAGAGTGGATTAATGTCAGTGAAGGACTAGCATCTGGGTCTCCTCCCCCTAAATTCCCTGCTGGTTTCCCCAACACAGGACAACAGGTAAGCGGGACTGTGAAGGGTGCGTCCCCGTGGGAATCACCTGTGGCTGAGATGAACTTGTTGTAGTTCTCATAGACCAGGGTCTGCATGTCGCTGTCCAAAGCCCGGATCTGTCGCACCATGTCTGTCTCACTGTCCATCAGCTGGGCCAGAGGGCACTCTCTACGCAGCTGGAGGAAATCGGGGTGTTAGTGCTCAGGTCGGGGGCTTTCATGGCCCTCGGCTTGCCCCTACCTGGTCGGCTTTCGGTGCAAGAAAACCCTCATCCCACCCTTGTTAGGAATCCTAGACGTGGAGCCTATCAGTGGCACAGGTCAGGAGTTACTGGTCAGTTCGACCCTATTTGGGGTTTGTCAGCCTTTGAAATGCTCAGAGTCAGCCAGGGCCCACTCCAGAGCCTGTCAGCGCCTGGGCCACGCCCCCTACCCCGAGCCTATCAGAACATCAGCCCAGGATACCTCACACCCCGCACCTCCTCAGGCCAGTGCAAGTCTGCCCATGCCCCCCTTAGACTCCAGCTCTGCCCCTGCTTCCTGCCCGAGGGTCGTCTTGTTTTTAGGAACCCCTGCTTCCCTCACCCGCGCAACAAAGTCGAAGGCGTGATCTGAGGGTGCAATGTATCGGGGGCCTGGTTCCCCCAAAACACACACACACACACACACACACACACACACACACCTTGTCCAGATACACTTCCGGGTCGAAGTGCGCCCCGTTGAGATCCGTCGGGTCCAAGGGGTCCGACCCCGGGGGGCGCCCCGCAGTCTCCCCCTCCGAGAGGCCGTAGTAAAGCTTCAGCATCCCGTGCGCCTTCCGCCGACGCTCCGGGGCCTCAGCCTCGGGCCCCTCCGGAGAGTCCCCAGGTCCAGACCCCGGGCCAGGCCCAGCGGCTGCCGCCGCCATCGCTCCAACTGCAGCCCACGGGCGTGTGGCTGGGAAGGGGACCAGGAGGAGGCACTTCCGGGAGCCATAAAGTTCTTGTTGTAACGAGTCAGTCCTTCAGCTGAAACGTCCCCCAGCAGCCCTGGGTCCTTCGAGACTAGCGTTCCCCTGTACCTTTCCTCCCCGAGCGGAAGGTTCCGGCAGAGCCCTGGGTTCCCCCAGCATCTGGAGCGGAAGGATTGAGTGGAACTGGTGGGGTGCTTCCTTCCCAGAAGGAAAGCGGGTCCTGGCTCCCAACCCCGCACGCCCGCAGGCAGAGGCCCCGGAATATGTCCCTGGATGCCGTGGACGGAGCGTCAGCCGTGGAGCCAGAGAGCGTGTGCCTGACATCCTGGCATTGGCTCGTTACCTGGGTGGCGGCTCAGTTTCCCCCATTCCTAATATCGGGGTGCTGACCTCACAGGACTCTGCGAGGAGGCTGCGAGGGTTAGAGGCACATACAGTGCTCGCGGTGCCTCTAGCACAGTGTTTCTCGGGGCCGGTCCTCTGACACGGGTCAGTGTGCCTTCAGACTCGGCTTCCTCAGACCTAGCTGCTGCTGCTGCTGCTTTTTTTTTTTTTTTTTTTTTTAAGTCCCCAAGCACCTCCACATAGGTGCTTAGAAGACCGACTCTTCAGATCTTCAGTGACTGGTGGGCCGTGCTGAGTGAGGGGCTGGGTGGAGATGTTGAGGGTAATTCTCAGGTGTCCGATTTCAACAAGATGCAGGTGTTCACCAAGGTGCAGCGCTCAACTGGACAGGTAATGAAGTTCAAGTTGAGATAAGATGAGGGGTTTTTTAAAATTTTTTATTGTTATGTTAATCACCATACATTACATCATTAGTTTTTGATGTAGTGTTCCATGATTCATTGTTTGTGTTTAACACCCAGTGCTCCATGCAGAACGTGCCCTCTTTAATACCCATCACCAGGCTAACCCATTTTCCCACCCCCCTCCCCTCTAGAACCCTCAGTTTGTTTCTCAGAGTCCATCGTCTCTCATGGTGAGATAAGATGAGTTTTAATAGAGAAAACGACTTTATCCATGTGGTCCTTGAAACATTACTTGTGATGGGCTGGTGGTGGGGCGGTGGGGGGAAGGTATTGGAATGGAAACCACCTTGTTTAATTATTCTTTGGCAGGGGTCCTGCAGGCCAAACACATCCCACCACCTGTTTTCATTTGGCCTGTGAGCTAAGACTGGTGTGTTGGTTTTTTTTTTTTTTTTCATTTTAAAATGGTTAAAAAAATAAGAATGACATTTCATGACGTGAAAATTATGTACAATTCATATAATCAGAGTAGTTCTTAAAAGTTCTCATCAGGAGAAAAAAAAAATTTTGTTAACTATGTATGGTGACAGATGTCAACTAGACTTATTGTGATCATTTTTAATACAAATTTGGTACAAATACCAAATCATTACGTTGTACACTTGAAAATAATGTAATGTGGGACGCCTGGGTGGCTCAGTCGGTTAGGCATCTGCCTTCGGCTCAGGTCATGATCCCAGGGTCCTGGGATCGAGTCCCATATGAGGCTCCTTCCTCCGCAGGGAGTCTGCTTCTCCCTCTGCCTGCCGCTCCCCCTGCTTGTGCTCTCTTGCTCTGACAAATAAATAAATTTAAAAAAGAGAAAATAATGTAATGTTAATGTCTATCTTGATTTAAAAGATGATTTTCTTTTTTTTTTAATTAATTTATTTATTTGTCGGAGAGAGAGAGCGCACAAGCAGGGGGAGCGGCAGGCAGAGGGAGAAGCAGACTCCCGGCTGAGCAGGGAGCCTGATGCGGGACTGCATCCCAGGACCCTGGGTTCATGACCTGAGCCGAAGGCAGACGCCCAAGTGACTGAGCCATCCAGGTGTCCCAAGACAATTTTCATAAAATATGAAAATAATGTGAAATTATATGAAATATTGCAGTGTCTATAATTTTATTTGAACACACCCAGGCCCATTTGTTTATATATTATCTATGCCTGCTTTTTCACTACAACAGAAATGTTGAGTAGTTGCAACAGAGACCTTATGGCTAGCAAAACGTAAAACATTTACTATCTGGTCCTTTACAGGAAAAGTTTGCTGACCCCCGAAATCTGTGTTCAGAGATGTTCCATTTATGTTCCGAAGGATGTTTAAAGGCAGCCTATGATGCTATAATCTCAAGAAAATGAAGAGTATAGGCACGCCTGGGTGGCTGAGTCAGCTAAGCATCTGCCTTCAGCTCAGGTCATGATCCCAGGGTCCTGGGATCGAGCCCCGCGTTGGGCTCCTTACTCGGAGGGGGGGGGGAGCCTGCTTCTCCCCCCTGCTTGTGTTCTTGCTCTGTCAAATAAAATCTTTTTTTAAAAAATGCAGAGCATAAAGATTATCTACTCCAAGAAGTCTATAAACTAAAAAGTTGCAGAATACTGTTAAGAAAAATTATCCAAAATCTGGAAATAAGACCAAGAGTGTAGCATGTCCTGCTAGTGCCATCCTGGGGCCTTAATTACCCACAGGAATGAACATTTGATGTTGCTATTTACCATTACATGTTCAGACGCTGATTATTACAAGAAGATACTGTCCAGGAGAGATACAAGACATTTATATCCAGTAGAAAAAGTAATTCCAGAGGTGCCTGGGTGGCTCAGTCAGTTAAGCATCTGCCTTCAGCTCACGTCATGATCCCAGGGTCCTGGGATCGAGCCCCACATTGGGCTCCCCCGTTCAGCGGAGAGGCTACTTTTCCCTCTCCTTCTGCAGTTCCCCCTGCTTGTGCGCTCTCTCTCTCTCAAATAAAGTCTTAAAAAAAAGAAAAAAGAACTTAAAAAGTTCTATTTCTTATTGTCCTGTAGGACATCAACCAGTTTTGTATCTAACCTAGAATCATACTCTAACATTCTTTATTTTTTTTTTTTTAAGATTTTATTTATTTACTCGAGAGAGAGCAAGAGTGAGAGCAAGAACACAAGAAGGAGAGGGAGAAGCAGACTCCCCACTGAGCAGGGAGCCCGACAGGGGGCTAGATCCCAAGACCCCGAGATCAAGACCTGAGCTGAAGGCAGCCGCCTAACCGACTGAGCCAGCCAGGTGCCCCTCTAATATTGCTCTTTAAATGCCTGTCCATATCCAGGTCCCCAAGACGCATTACCACCTTACTGAGGGGGAACCCCTCACTGCTGGGTTTATACATCTTAGTTACATGTTCATTCCAGATCTAGCATCATATTTTTAACTTTTTGAAAATTATACTCTGACAATACATTTGGTGACTCTCTAGAATGCTTTTTTAAATTATCCATGTAGATGTACATGTAGGTACATGAAGTTACATCAAGAGGGGACCCAAAAGGTGCCCACTCACCAAACTGTTGAGGGGGTTACCTCTGTTAGGTAGGTAGGAGGCTGGGGGGGGGGCTGGCATGCCGTCATTGCCTTTTCCTCTGTGTGCTGTGTATTACACACACCTTTTACAAGAATGTAGTCATGTGCTACTTGGGTCATTTTTAAATGGTGTTGAGCCAGAAGCCCTAACGTCTAATGAAAGTTCATCTGTATTCACATGAGAACGGAGGTGCGAACAATGGTTTCAACAGTGGGCCAACGGCTAGGCATGGGGGGTGTCACCCCTGTACTGTGTCAGAATGGGGGTCTGAGGGACTGTTGTGATTAATGCCACTAGACAGTAAACATGGATGTGGCAGGAGACCGAGGGTCTTGGCCGGACCTTGAACCTAACTTCTGGGGCAGGCAGACAGAAAGGAGGCCATGGGGGTGGCTGAGTTCAAGTTATCCTTCTTCTAGTCTAGTTCCTGGGAGTTTTCATGTCCCTCCACACTATTTCTGCCCATTTTTGTGGGTGATACTGCTGAGAGTCCTAGAGTTTTCACCTCTCCCACGTATGGAGGAAATGTTTTCTTGTTGCTTGTAAGTGTCCCTGCCCAGTCACAGCCTCGGGTAGAACTGGATCTTAGTACTGACTCCCTCATTCATTGGCTGTGAGCACCTGGGCTGACACTTCCTCTGTACCTCGGACTTGTGTGCAAAACAGAATTTATGCCACCAGCCTCATCTGGGACTCTTGGAAAGGACAGAGGTGATGGCTGTGAAGTGCTGAGTGCTTAAAGGTGGCACAGGAGAAAGCTGGTCAGCATCAGGTCCTCGGACATTTTGGGGAGGATGGAAAAGTCCACTGCTGTCTGGGCCATCCCTAGGGAGGGCATGGGGAAGGTCCCAGGACAGCTCTGGGCAAGCTCTTATCGCTTCCCTTCACTTTGTTCCTCCCCATCCGGGAACGGAGCTATAAATACTTGGAGCTTGTCATTCAGCCCAGGCCTCCTCACCTGGGAATGCCCACCAGCTACACATCCAGAGCTTCGTCTCTCGTTGGCCTAAGACTTGCTGTGGACCTAGGACATGCCCTTCCACTTTTCTGAGACCCGGCTCTGTAGAAATGTGCCCACAGTGCCTCCTCTGTGGTAGGTAGGAGGCGGGGGCGTGGGGGGTCAACTCAGTGAGAAGAGTCGGGCTCAGTGAGAAGATGTGCACAAGAACGCAAAGTGTGCATGCAGGCAGGATGATAAGGGACACCGTCCCTTCCTCAACACTCCTGCTGGTCTGTACCTTCAGCCCTCCATCCGACCTTCCATAATTTGTGGAGCTCCCCTGGCGCCCCCATGAACCACTCCTGTATTGGCTGGAACCAGCCTGTATTCTAGAATCTCGTCCCCTCCTATGTCCTCATGGTTCTAGCATCCCACTGCGATTCCAGACCGTACGCTCTAGAACCGGAGGGGTCAGCTGCTTCTCCTGAACAGTGCTGGCTTGCTCAGCTTCCACCGTTGGCCTTGAGTCTGTGCGGCCACCACAATGCGGTGGCGGGACCGGCTGGCTGTGCTCTTCTTCCCACAAGGCATGGTGCTCACTGCAGCTGCCCTGATGCTCTTCCTCATACACCTTGGGGTCTTTGCCAGCGACGTGCACAACTTCTGCGTCACCCACCACTACGACCGCATGAGCTTCCACTACACAGTTGTCCTGATGGTAGACTGGGGCCGGGGCTCAAGGGCTGGTCGGGGGAGGCCCAGGGGCTGATGGAAACCCCGCTGTTGTCTCAGGGGGCCACTCTCCCACTGGATGGGGCCTACAGTTCTCCCAGGTGATGAGCATCTGCTGGGCTGCCATGGGGTCACTCTACGCTGAGATGACAGATGACAAGTTTCTTCGGTGCTTTGCCCTAACCATCCTGAGTGAGTTGGGAAGAGGGTCCTGCTAAGGGGGAGGGGGAGCTTTGGATCCCGGAGACACGGCAGAGAGTGGGCAGGGAATGCTGACAGGGGCTCCCTCCTCTGCTCAGTGCTAAATGGAGCCATGTTCTTCAACCGCCTGTCCCTTGAGTTTCTGGCCATCCAGTACCGTCAGGAGAACCACTGAGACCTGAGGACTGGGCTGAGAAGGGGGAAGGAAAAGGAGGCTTCGGTGTTTTAATAAAGTCTGTCATTTATTTTCACCTGTCATCTCCTTCGTGGGGAGGAGGGCGGGAGGCTGGAGACCCAGGGTAAGTGGGTCAAGACAAACGTTTGACCTGCAGGGGCCCCAGGCCCAGCCAGCAGCCACTCTAGTGGACTTGACTGGGCCTGGGATCTTAGTGTCTCAGGCATGAAGAAGAGGAGCAGAGAAAAAGTCCCCAGGCCTCCCTACCTCAGGCCCCCGGGTCCTAGGCTGGCCTGGCTACAAGCAAAGGCTCAGGAGGGACCCACCCGGATGTGAGGGTTCATGAGTGGGTCCAGGTTGGGATCGCTGTCAGCTGCAGCTCGGCCCAGGCGAGACATGAGTGCGAGGAGGGCCAAGAAGCCCAGGAGCCCCAGGAGCAGCAGAAGCCCCGCCCGCTGCAGCAGTGTCAGCGGCCGCTTACGAGACCCAGCCCGGCTCCTGCGGGGGACGAGGGGAGAGTCAGGTCAGGTTCTCAATCCCTGACAGCCCCTCGACCCGGAGAGGAACCCCAGACACGACACTTGTCTTCTGGCCCTGGTGCCGCCATTCCTGAGCCTTGCTGCTTCCGGTGTGCAGGCTCATCCCTGCACCTGCTCGTTACACAGGGGACCGTGCAGCTCAAACCAGCTGAGGCGACTAGGATGTGTCAGGCACGGCAGGGTCACTAGGCTCTGGTGGTGTCGGAGCAGGAACGGGCCTCAAAGAGCCCAACCTCAAGCCTCAGATACCTAGCAGGCGAGGAAACAGCCCTACAGTGGAGCAGACTTCTAGGGCCGAGCTGAAGCCTCTCTGCATAGCCAGACCCCAGGGACTACTGTTACCCAGACGAAGCCCCTCTTATCTATCATGCAGTCATCATGCCCAGGGCCTCTGGCTCTCACTTCCTCTCCTCCCCGCTCCTGGCATCCGGGCCCACCTGACCATGCATACCTGAGCAGCTGGGCCAGCCAGCCCAGGGCAGGCCGGCGACGGTACTTGTCGTCATCACAATCCCCGTGGAGGCCTGGTGAACGGTCATCATCCCGTGTGTCATACACCTTCCTCGGGGCTGAGGCTGCAGGGGCAGAGCCACCGGTATCCACAGGCTCAGAGAAACTGGCCTGCGGCAGGGTGGGGAGTGGGGAGGGCAGGAGGTCCTTGCCCTCTCAGCCCGACAGACCATCTCAGAATTGTGGGGAGGTAATGTCTCTGTCAGAGTGAGGAGGGGGCCCCCCGGGTGGGCCTCTGGAACCCTGAGCTCCCCCCACGCGAGCCACCCCACTTCCTTTCTATCCTCCTCTAGACTGGACCGTTCCCTGGCTCACCGTGAGTCAAGGGCTCAGGATTGCCCATGTGGATCACTGTGTGCTGCTCGGGTCGGCTCGGGGAAGCAGGGGGCCGGGGGACTTGGCCGTAGAAGGATGGGGCAGCAGAAGCACTGGTTATCTCCTCCTGTTCAGGGGTACCATTGGCTGTGGCAAGAAGAGAGTGGTCAGCAGAGCAGGGAGGCAAGGGCCCCCAAGGGCAGTGCAGACCACCACTTACCAGTAAAGCTAGACCAGTCAGAGAAGTCAGAGGTGTTGAGAGGCTCGGGTTCCGGGCTCACCACCTCATCGATCTGGCGGAAGGAACCTGTATTACCAGACTGCCGGTGCTGTCCCTCCCCACCCATCTGGCCCAGGTGGGACCCAGGGCAGATGGTCAGTCAGACAGACAGACAGACAGATTCTCACCAGAGGAAGGCCCAGTCCTGCCCGGGCCCAGTTGACCGTGGCCAGCTTCTCTCTCAGTGCAGAAGCCACAGGGCCAGCCAGGTTGGTTGGGGGGAAGATGGGGCCACTGCAGGTGGGGCACTGGTAGCCAGCAGGAGCTGTGTTTCGGGGCAGCTGGGCAGCACGCTCATTGAGGCAGGCCCAGTGGAAGAGGTCTTAGGGCCCATGAAATAGGGGAGGAGAGGCATGAAGAAGAAGACACTTAGGACGTCTAGCCCAGCAGCAGCCCCCCGCCTGCTACATGGATGTATACACACACACACACACACACACACATATAGCCCACAGCCTTCTCCTTCCTGTCCTCACTCAGGTCCATTTCATCAGTGTTCCCTGAGACTTCGGCCTTCTTGGCCACCGCCACCTGAACTCAGTCATGGCAGATGCTACCCCGGCGCAGTAAAAGGGAGAAGCCCCCTAGGGTGGGAAGAAGATGCCAGCGACCCTTAAAAGCGAGGCCTCGCTGAACATGCACTCATCACAAGCTCCTCGGGCTAACAGCTAGTTAAGAACAGTTTCAGAAAAAGTTCCTAGACGCACACAGGCACACGTATGCGTGTACACACCTATGGGCACAAATGTACACATGCTCATATACATATAATCAAACACAAGTACCATCCCCTGTTTCACCACGTTGGCAAACTAACTCCCACATATACACATCTATACATTCACATTTGCTAAAACTCAAGCGCTGTCACCCACACATTCTCCTGCAACCCCACAACACACCCGTGTTCATACATTCACGCACATTTACCCATTCACTCATCCGCAGGTACTAAAGGCACTAATTAACACACGTAAAGTCATAAGACACATTAAATTCATGTATATATACACACACGCTCATCACACTGAGAAACACACACGAAGCTCTTTTGCACTAGCTCCTTCAAAAAATGGGAGTTAAGCCTCTTACACCACAGTCAGCTCAAGGTCATGATACATGTGACTGCTGACTTCTTCTGGCTGAATGTACTGGAGAAACTCCCTTCCTGTTTAATTGGAATGAGTAACAGATCCTAAATGTCCAAAAGCCTCATCCCTTCAGCTTCCTGCTGGTCCAGCCAGCTACTGCTCACAGTCAAAATGATACCCACAAGTTGGACTGGCTCTCACCCAACCCTCAAAATGGGCAGGTAAGAAACCAGGAGCTTTAATTTTTAGGGAAAAAGACTGAGGCCTAGAAAGAAAAAATGACTTGCCTGAGCTCACACAGCAGGTAAATAACATAGCAGGACTAGAATTTGGGGCTCCAGCCTCCCAAGCTTTGGGAGATCTCATTGCCCTGCTGCTTAGAGAGGACCTAGAAACTGGTCACCAAGCTGGGCAGGCCTCACCATAACAGACGAGGCGGGTCGTCTCCCGGTTGGCAAGGGGTATGTTGCACAGACGGCAATTCGGATTGTAGTCGCTATCTTGGAGCCACTGCAGATAGGACTGGACGATGCACTGGAGTGGGAGAGAGAGATCACAACTGGGGCCCATCTCCTCAAGGCCCAGCTGCTTTTTTGTACAGAGGAGACTCATCCTTTCGTTTTTCCATCAATAAATATTTACTGAGCACACAGTGTGCCAGAGTCTGCCTTAAGGGCTCTCCGGAGATAGAGCCCAGCACAAAAGCTCCAGGAGGGCTTCATTCCAACCCCTGGCCCTTCATGGAGTTGGAGAAAACCAATACCGCCTGCCCACCTACTGCCCTGCTCAGCCCCTGCCCTGAAGGCCCCACCTTGGCGTGATTGGCTACCAGGCAGTGCTCGCAGACGTTGACCCGATGTTCGAAGCAAAACAGATTGGTGACCTTCCTCTTGGGGCACTTGCAAAGTCCCATATTCGACCCTGAGGAAGAGGTCTGAGTTGACAGCCAGGTTCCGGTGTCCGCCACTACGAACTCACAAGCCCAGATCGTTTCCACTCTTAACTCCCCTAAACACCTCTCATAATCGCCCCAACCCCCAATTACTGCCCACTGCCCCTCTACATTCCGGGCCACGCCCCCCGAACGAATCCCACCTGCGGTGACCTGTCATTCCTCCTGGATCCCGCCCCCAGCCAGGTCCCTCCACCATCGAGCCTCCGAAACCACCGGCCCCGCCCCCAGGGGCTCCGCCTGAGCCCCACCCCCTCCAAGCCCCGCCCCCACCTTCAACACATACCCCTCTCTTCGTGTTTACCGATCGACCGCCGCACCGGTCCCGACGGGCGCGAGCCCTGGCCCGACGCGCGGAAGAACAGACACCGCGCTCACCGGAGCTCCCGCTCTGCGCTCTCTACCTCGGGCCGCTCCGATTATCCCTCTGCTGCCACGTCTCTTCCGGGTGCGGCGCGCTCTGATGACGCCAGCGTGCCGCTGGCCCCGCCCCTGCTGACGCCAGACGTGAAGATCGACGAACGGTGAACGGAACACGGCGGCCCGCCCTCCTTGCGTCACTTCCGCTTCCTCCAGGCAGAGCGGGTAATTCGAACGTTTAGGTTTCCGTCGGCCCTCCGGGTTGGCGCGAGGCCCGGCGTCGGCGGCGGCTGAGGCGGCGGCCGAGATCGAGACCAAGGCTAACATGTCCGAGAGGCGAACGAGGTCCGGAGGGTCCGCCCAGCTCTCTGGTGAGCGGAGGGCGCGCGGGAGCCCGGGGCCTAGCCGTTTGAGGGACGGAGTCCCGCGAGGAGGCCCTCCCCCCACCGCTGTAGGAGGCTCACTGCCCCGGAAAGGAGCTTGTTTGGGAACCTCTCGCTCACTCCTGAATCTGTTCTCTAGACTCTGAGGCCTGGAGTCTTACCCTACCTCCTAACTTTTTTCTTTTCCCAGGGCCCGGGGCCCCATCTCCTACTCAGTCTCTGCGGAGGTCCCAGCGGAAATCAGGCCCTGATCTCCCGAGCACCCTCCCTGAAATCTGGCCCAAGGTGAGCCCCGGCTTTCTCAGTTTCTGCCCCGGAAGGCGTTGGACTAATGTGGAGTTCATATTCACTCTTCTTTTCTAGGCACCCCATGCGGCTCCAGTCAGAAAGCCCATCGTTTTGAAGAAGATCGTAGCCCAACCTGTAGAGGTGAGGACTGAGAGAGGGGTTGTGGGTTGGGAGCCAAAATTGGGGGTGGCTATGTTATCAATTATTGTCTCCACAGATCCCGCCTGTCCACACACCTCGAAGGAGCCCAAGGGTGAGTTCATTTTTATCTTCGTAATGGAGTGGAATCCAGGGCACTCTAGAGATTGGGCAGGACATACTGGCTGCTCACATCTGCCCAGGGAGCAGTTTTGAGGTACAGATCTTCCTCCACTTAGGACGGGGTTACATTCTGATAAACCTATGATAAGTTGAAAATACCATAAGTCAAATGTGCATTTAATATACCGAATCTATCAAACATTGTACTTTAGTTTAGCATGCCCAACACATTAAATGTGTTCAGAATACTTACATTAGCGTATAGGTGGGCAAATCATCTAGTACAAAGCCTATTTATAATGAAGAGTTGAATATCTTCTAATTTTTTGAATGCTGTACTAAAAGCAAACAACGGAATGGTTGTAAATTTATCAGTTGTTTTACTGCGGGATGGCGTGGCTGACTGGGAGCTGTAGCTTGCTGCCGTTGCCCAGCATCATGAGAGAGGATCTTACCACGTATCACTAGCCCAGGAAATGATCAAAATTTGAAGTATGATTTCTAGTGAATGCATATCAGTTTTGCTCCACAATCACATTGAAAAACTTTAAGTCAAACCGTCATTAGGTCGGGAAGCATCTGTATTTTGAAACACTTTGCCTTTGGACACCCACATGCATTGCCAGTCTTGCTCACTCCCTGTGGATTTCATACGTTTAGGTCTTGATGTCCTAACGTTCTCTACCGTCATCTTAAGAGCTGAGCCGTGTCCTAAATATTCCTTCTCTCTAGTCCATCTCCTCAATTTGTGAGAACAGGTTGTTGTAAGATAAGTGTACAGCATTTTTACTGTTTCAGCAGAAGTTATTAAGGACGTTTCATGAACAGAAAACCTGTGCCTAAAGATATAAGAAGTGAGAAATGCTAGCTGCCTTTTAGGAGCACAGGGAGCTTATGTCAAGTGGGGAGAAAGACAGATGAGCAAGTGATAACAGCATGGCGTGCTGAGGACTGCCGTAAGAAAAGTACTAGATGTTATGAAGGCACCTAACAGACCAGCTGGCCCTGGGGCTGTTTCACAGAAGAGGAAACGTTTCAACTGAGTCTCTAAAGAAAAGTAGTGTTTGGGCAAAGGATGCTCTGTTGGCAGAGCCCTGGAATTCACAAAGAAAATCCCGAGGTCTGGAGGACAGCAGATTGTTCAATGTGTCTGTGGCAGATCTTGTTGGGCGATAGAGCACGTTAAGCCAGAGCCATTCCTCAGGAGGCATGAACGCCACACTCAGGAGCTTGGGCTTTGTCCTCGGCATCGTGGGAGCCTTTGGGGAGTCTCAAGCTCACTAAGTCTCAGGTAGTCACTAAGGTATGCTCAGAAAAAAAATCTCCCTGGGGTCTGGGTGGAGACTGGGGTGGAAACAGCCTGCTCGGGACCCCAAGACCAGGTAGGAAGACAACAGGAATCCTGCAGCAGGATGGCGGAGGCCTAAAGTAAGGTGAGGGCAGAGTGATGCTCTGCTCGTCATCTCACCACATGACCTACCCATCACACAGTACTCCGCCAAAAGGACACCTCCCAGAAGGCTTCCCTGACCACTTGTGCCCTGTCACTGTCCTGTTTATGTAGTTCTCCTTAGGCCTTCTCCATATCCGAATGTTTGCATGTTGTCTTGCGGGTGGAGACTTCTGCCTCCCCATGGTAATCACTCATTCTTGTTGGTCGAACGATAGATTGATGACATTGAGCCAAAGAAGCTGCAAGGACTCGTGTGACTGCTTGCTGTAGGGGGTGAGGAAGAGGTCGTCAGGGCTAACCCCCATTTTGTGCAGCATCCCTTTTACTCTGACTCATTACTAAGACTCAGATTGCCCGTGCTTGTAGCCAGGAAGTGTCTCTATTGATAACCAACGTCATTCCTTCTGTTAGACCACAAGAGGGACTGAATTTGTCCTGTTTCCTACGGCGTTTTGGCTGCCATAAAGCTCAGTGACGCGTTTTGGGTACATTAAGTCAGTGAGTATTGAACACCTGTTCAACACAGCGCTCTGCGGAGGGTGCTGGCTAGAGGCTGGGTCAGCCAAACAGATGAAGACCCCTGCTCTCAAGCTCATGTTCTCGTTGGGGTGATAGGTGACCAGTGTACAAGAGAGGTTATTGGGGCAGAAGTAAAGATCAGTGGTAGCGGGGCTCCCTGCTATTCTGTGGTAAGAAACGGCTTCTCGGGGCGCCTAGATGGCTCAGTCGTTAAGCGTCTGCCTTCGGCTCAGGTCATGGTCCCAGGGTCCTGGGATCGAGCTCCGCATCGGACTCCCTGCTTGGTGGGAAGCCTGCTTCTCCCTCTACCACTCCCCCTGCTTGTGTTCCCTCTCTTGCTGTCAAATAAAAACAAAACAAAACAAAAACGGCTTCTCTGAGGAAGCAGCATTTGAGCCGAGAGTGGAATTTTAAGGAGCCAACATGTGAACCTCTTAATACACATATGAGATTAGGCCTTTTGCCATTCACAACCTTGCCGTGGCTCCCTGGGTCTCAGAGCAAGGGTCTCCATGGGCCTCCCCTTCCAATGTCCTACAGAAGGCCCTCTAGCAGCCCCCATTACCTCTCGAACCCCATCTTCAGTTCCTCCTCACTTCCTCTCGCTCAGCCACACTGGCCTCGTTCCTTTACCTTTCCGGACATTCCTGCACCTCAGGACTTGGGCACCTTCTGTTCCCTCTGCCTACAACACTTGGCCTCCCTGTGACTGACTTCCTCACCCCCTTCAAGTTCTAGCTCAGACAGTCCCCCAGTGAGGCCTCCATCGACCTTCACCTACTTAAAATCCCAACCCACCCCAGTGCTATCTCATTCTGTTTTTATCCAAAGCACTTAACACTTCTAACATGCTACATGACTTTTCCCTGTTCATTACCTGTTTTACCCCCACCAGAATGGAAGCTCCATGGAGACAGGGCTTTCTCTGTTTTATTCCCGGCTGTGCTCCCAGTGCCTAGAAAGTACCTGAAACAGGGCAGGTGACCGGAAAGTACTTGCTGACTGGATGGACATGTTAGGAAAACCGCCACCAACTGTGTGACACATGGACCAGAGGACCCAGGTGGAAGCAGGCAGAGCAGTCAGGAGCTTGTCGAACTGCTCTAGATGACGTGATGGGGGCTTGTAGTCAGTAGGGGCGGCTAGATTCTGGTCACTTTTTGTTGGGAAACGGAGCTGACAACAGCCGGTGGTGCGGAGTCTTCTTGCATTACCAAAGTGGACTCAGAAGCAAGGACAGACAGATTCTTTTCTTCCCCTCCCCAGGTCTGTCTCAAGGTCCAATCTGTTGCCTGACCTGTCTTGTCTTCTCTTTTTAAAAGTGTCCTATGGGTCTTTCCACCCTGAATCTCCTCGGACCTTTCGGAAAGTATGTAACACAGCTAACTAACAAGGAGGTGTTCTCTCTTCTGTCCCGGTCCAGATTGCTTTTTTCTTGGAGAAGGAAAACAACCCTCCTAGCAAGGAGCCTGCTAAGGAGGATCTCTTCAAGGCATGTAATATACCCGTCACCCCCACCACCACCCCGGTGCTATACCCCCTGAATGTTGAGTCCAACTTCAGGGAAGAAGAGCTGGACAACAGAGACTTGGAAATGTCTAAGAAGGTCAGGCGATCCTACAGCCGGCTGGAGACCTTCGGCTCCGCCTCTACCTCCACCCCGGGCCGCCGGTCTTGCTTTGGTTTCGAGGGGCTGCTGGGGTCAGAAGACTTGGCCCGAGTCTCGCCTGTGGTGTCTTCCAAGTTAACCGAAGCCCCCAGGGTCCCTGTGAAGCCCTGGGCCCCAGATACAACTCTCCCCGGGATCTCCCCACCGGCCGTGAAAGAGAAGCGCAAGAAGAGAAAGGTGCCTGAGATTCTGGTGAGTGAGGGCCAGGGCTTTGCTCTGCTGTCGCCCCAGACGCGCTGGGAGGCCGCTGGGACTCGGGCCGGCCTGGGGCTCAGCGCCTGCAGGGTCTGGGTTCACGTGCTCTGGCCAGCACGCCCCCTTCCCCCGTCCTCGCTCACCCGCCACCTTTTTCTCTCCCCCTAGAAATCGGAGCTGGATGAATGGGCTGCGGCCATGAATGCGGAGTTTGAAGCTGCTGAGCAGTTTGATCTCCTGGTTGAATGAGATGTCGGGGTGGGGGGGTGTCCCTGGCCATCCTGTCCCCTCCCTGTGTACATAGCTCCTCCTCCCCGTGGAGAAGACACTTGGGGTCCCCTCCCCTGGCCCTGTTCCCTGTACATAGGCTGTGGCTACATGAGGCCTGCGTTCCTTGGAGGGCTGGTGCGGTGGCAACAGCCGTCTCAGGAGATGGGGCTCTCTGGGCCTGGCCACGCACCGCTGTCCTGTGTCTGGTCCCTGCCTCCCAGCCGAGCCTCGCCACTTTCCAGCTGGGCTGCACACGGGGGAGTAGGAGTTGCTGGCACAGCCGGAGGAGGGGGAAGGGCTGGGGTTGCAGGTGAGCGGGGACCCGGGCCCTTGTTGGGGAACGCAGCTGCTCTGCACCAGCCCCGGCCCAGGCGATCCCCCTGCCTTGTCTTCCATCGGGGGCCTGGTTCCCAGCCACCAGCCCATCTATGTAAAGAGGCTTGGGTTCCCTCTTAGTTTCTGTAGATGGGCCAGGAGAGAATTTGTGGGTTGGGGAGATTTCTGTCTGTGAGAGGAAGACCCCGGACACTGTAGAATTTTACATTTTGAAGGAGGGAGGGGAAACCTTGGTTGGGTCTCAGACCAGAAGCGTTTGCTCGGAGAAGCTGTGGTTGATCGCTCTGCTCTGCTGTTGGGATGTTCGGTTAAACGCCAGGCTGGTGGGACACTGGCTGCCTGGGGCAAAGGGGGTGCATTTCCGGGTGTGGCCGCCAGGTGCCGGAAGCTGAGGCCCGGGCCTCTGGACAGGACACCTGCACAGGGCCGGGGAGGGGGCTGTGGTGGGAGGTGCCCCACTTGTCATTTACACCTGTTTCTTACTAAACAAAGCGCACAGAGTCTCCTCCACTCTAGAGGGGAAAACAGGGTTGTACGGTCCTAACCCTTGTCCCAGACCTGCCAGCTTTGCAGCTACCCCACGCCGGTGCATCTTCGGACGTTTCCGGGGTCACAGCAGTAGAGGCTGCGAGGAGTGTGGCAGGGCTGGTGGTAGCAGAGTGTCAGGGAAGATGCGCTCATGCTTGGTTAGGGGACTTGAGACCCCAGGGCAGGCCTGGTGGGCACTACTGAAAGCCCTTGCAAGGCCTGGGAGCCCCGGGCTACCTATTCAGCTCTTCGTGCTTTGTCAGACCCCCCAAGCAAGCCCCCTTGCCGGGGTGGGCCTGGATGCCCCTGAGCTGGACACCGGAAGAATTCTTGTCCTCGCCGGCTGGTGGGGCGGAACTCCTGGGAAGTGTCCTAGTCCTGCAGAGTCGGGAGCTGCCAGGTGGTGTGGAGTGTAAAGAAAGATTATGTTGCTGTTGTTTGAATAAAAAAAAATCCTGATTAAAAAGTTCCTGCTTATTTGAGACTGTTGTTTGAACGAGGCAGAGGCGAAGGTGGGAGGCCCAGGAAGCCAAGCCTTCTTTGGGCTGTGTCTCCAGGGTTGTCCCCTTGCACGGAGGACTGCCAGCCTGGCCTCTAGTAGCCCTGTGATCACTGCTCTGCCCTCACATTGGGTTTTTTCTGTGCCGTCCCATCTGCTCCCACAACGTAGGGCTGCCTGCGAGGGAGGCCTCTAGGGAGCCCCGGCCCCTCCTGTCTGGAATTCTCCCACTTGGCTCAAGGAGGCCCCAGGACATATGTGCCACGGCTGCTCCCGTTACTTCTCAGGCAGAAGCAACCAGCGACCCCCTGATGACTAGTGCGACAGGCTCAGGTCGCTGCCACACTCTCAGCCTGGCTGAGAACACCCTTTTTGGGGGCCATGGCACTGCTGGCCCCTCTTTCTTGACTTCCCCTGAAATATCAGGACACCCAGGTTCAGTCCTGGGCCTTCTTTCCAACCTGCTGGCTCTCCCCAGACGAGGACAGGCCCTCTGGGCCGCCCTCTGGCTCATTCATGGCCAGTCTTGATCTCCATCCCATACCTCCCTCCCTCCTGAGCTCCGAACCAGAATCTAGAACTACACCTCGACTCAGAAGTCCTCTCAAACTCAGCTCATCCACCAGCTCGCCTCTTCCTGTGCTCCCTATGCCATCGGCATCCCCCCAGCTGACCTCGCCACATAAGCCAGGAGCCCGGGGGTCATCTGCAGCCCTTCCTCTCCCTCGTCCTGTCCCGTCGGCCCTAACTTCAACATCCCTCTGCCCCACAGCCACTGGACAGCACTGGTCTCCTGGCCACCTCTCACCTCTCCAAACTGTCTACACTGCAGCCAGACTGTATTTCCCAGAAGAAATAATATCCTGTTTCTCCCTTGCTCAAAACCCTTCGATACAATTCCACTTCTGGGTGTTAACACCCAAAAGAATGGAAAGCAGCGTCTTGAAGAAATATTGGCACAGACCGTCGTGAGGCTTCCTTTTGCGGTGTAACCGCGTCTCCTGCACATGTTCCCTGATATTTGCCATGTAGACACTTGTCACATGGAGCAGCTTGTGCTTGCCTCTCTCCATTCCCGAGACCTTCGGCTTCCTGCCCCCAGTATCTCCTCATCCCAGTTACGGCCCAAACAACCCACACAGAAACACACAAAGGTCTCCCATGCCTTGTCACCTGGGGCCACAGCCCAGGCCCCTCACACTATGTCCCAGCTAGAGTGCCCTCAGCACTGGCCTGCCCCAAACTGCTCCCTCCTTTGGATTGCTCTCCTCTTGCCAAGATCCCCCACTTCTTGATGCTCAAGCAGCACCTTCACAGTGGAGTCTGGAGCACTAAGCTGAATGTGTGGCTCCCTTCTTTCATGGCCAGGGCTGTCTGTACCGGCTTCAGTTAGGGCACATCTCCCTGCGCTGGGGCCACCTGAGAACCTGGGGCCTCCCCTGGCCCCGGGAGCTTCTCCTGGGCAGAACAGGGTCACCATCACCTGTCTGTGTATTCTCAGGACCCTGCCGGGGCGTGTCCCCCAGACAGCACTTGGTCAGCCAGCCTTTCCTGGGAACCATTAACTGCAGAGTGAACTGTGTTTGATCATGTTCATGCTATTGTTTACTGACCTTTTCTTATATTTGGGCCCTTTAGGCTGCTTCCAGTTTTTCTTCTTGGTGTAAATGGGCCTCCGTGTAAATTATTTTTATTTCCCATGGAGTCGTGTCTTTAGGACTAGTTACCAAAGTGGATGTTACCAGGAGCAAGGTCCTGGTTAGTTTTCGTAGATCTTATTACATGTTGCCAGCTTCCCCCTGGGACAAGTCAAACCTGGTGACGTGAGCATTGGTATCACCTTGGAGCTCAGTGAGTCCCCGGAGTTGGGCAGCCCCCGCGTCCCCCCCAGGGCATTTCTGGCCACCAAGATCCTGTTACCATCATGTGGACAAAAATTACAATATATTAGGCCATCTGGAAAGGCTCGATGTACTGCAGAGAGCACATGACATGGGATCCCTGCCGCAACCCATGGGCCTGTCAAAAGCCCAGATGGAGCTCGGTGTGAAGGACACATCTGAGGTCACTATTTGCCATCTGATTGCATTGTCCTCCATCGCTAGGCCCGCAGATGTACAAGATTCGGAAAAATCTGGAAGTGAAAAATGGTGACGATTCCATCTATTGACTTGAGACTTTCTGTCCCTTGGGGAGAAGCTGCTATTTCAAGCCTGCTCGGGGGGACATCTAACACCGCCTTGTAGAGACAGAAGCATCCTCAGGCTCAGCCCAGCTCTGGCTCCCCTGTGAACCTGTCCAAGGGGGTCCCAGGGAGGTGCATTTGCTCAGCAGAGAAAAGAGCGGGTCCAGTTCAGATTGTGGAGCTGGGGGGGAGCAGGAAAGAGGAGAACAGCATGGGCAAGAGCTTGGAGGTGGGGTAAGTTCGGGCTGGTGTTGGGAAGTGAGGTTCCTGGCGGGTCTGAGTAGACCCTTATTCAGGGACAGTGGAATACCAAGGGGGTTACAAACAAGGGTGTTCATAACAGGGGCTTGAATGCCACACTATTTGCTTCTCCATGTCCAGTTGATAATTTCTACACCAAAAATGGGAGGGATTCTCTACTTTTTTATAAGCTTGTATAGGATTCCTTTCAATAGGGTGCCCCTCGTGCCCCCACACCCAATAACTTGCATCTGCTGGGATTCAGTTCATGAAATATTGTCAGTATTAGCATGTTGTCAGATAATATATGGGCCACCTAGTGAAATTTGAATTTCAGACAAATAATGAATCATTTTTTTAGAATAAGTATGTCCTAAACATTGCATGGCATATGCTTATACTTTTAAAAGTGCTTGGTTTTCGTCTGAAATTCAGATCGAACCATGTGTCCTTGTGTTTTGGTTGCTAAATGTGGTAACCCTAATTTTGAGGGGTCTGGTTTGCTGGACAGAGCTGGTGGTGGAGGCTCTCCAGACTGGAGGCTGCCCCAGGAAAACCAGACAGGGCTGGCAAGGGGCAACTGGCAGGATGGTGGACATGGCCCCCCAAATGGGCTTCCGTCTCCTTCAGTCTCCCAGGGGCAGACGAAAAGTCTACTCTAAGCCCGTGGTGAAGCCTGCTGAGAAGCCGAAGCCAGAAGACCCTCAAGTCTCCAGGGAGCCAGGCTTAGAGGTGACAGGAAGCCCCAGGGCTTCCCAAGGCAGAGAGCAGGGGTGGCAGGAAGGGTGGCATGTCCTGGGCTGCCAGCCTCATGCTGTGCCTTCACCACGGCACCTTCTCTGCCAAAGCCGTCTTCTTCAAAGCAAGAGCTGGACTTGCAACCAGAACTCACCGTGACCTTCCTGTTCACCCTCCTGAGCACAGCGGAGCCCACTGAGTCCAAAGACCCTGAAGAGTAAGGCTGCAGGGGAGGGAGGCAGAGGGGGCTTCTCTCTGCTAAAATTCAGACCTGGGCCAGGACTCAGCCTGGGGTGGGCAGAGGGGAGACCCATGGACAGGCCCTGGGCCTTGGGCTGCCTCCCCCCCCCCCCCCCCCATACTGCCCACCCCACCCTCCCCCAACCTCTAGACCCTCTGGTCCAACCCTTCCTGTGCACTCGTTCCAGGGACTTAGACATCCAAGAGTGCCGGTTCCTGGACACGGAAGACTGGGGGCCCCAGCGGACCGCAAAGGAAATCAGCCATTTGCAGAATGATTGCATGAGGTGAGCTGGGCCGGGGCAGGTTGGGGCAGATAGGGTGACAGGGCTTTGCCCCACTGAGGTCAGGGCCTGGGGCTTGATGGCCGTGGGTGTGCACCTTTCCTTGGCCCTCCACCTTCCCTCCTACCCTTGCCTTCTCACCGTTCTGCTCTGAATGACGCCTTCACTGGCCATCAGGTCCCTTCCCTCCCAAGCATCAGTGTCCTCCCGTGTGAGCGGGACCTGCCCCACAGGCTTGGGGGCCACCGCTCTTTCCCATCAGTGGACTGCGTGCCCACACACCTGGTCTGCAAGCAATCTATAGGCCGCCTGTAAGGGACCCGCCCCTTTTAATTGTCTAAGAACCTGATGGGGTAGTTTGGTCTGTGGAGCCGCAGGGGTGGGGGGTGGGGTCTGGTCTCTGGATGTCAGGCTCTGGAGTTTGGGTCTGTGTCATGCCATGGTCACTGGCCCCTGTGGTGATGCCAGGGTCAGAGATCTGCCTGGAGCCAGAGGTTAGGGGGTGGAGCAGCATGACACAGTCCCTCGGGGCTGCACGTGGATCTGAGTGGTCAGCACTTTCGTTCATACCCAGAGCACTTAGGCAGGGCTGGTTCCAGGCTTGACCCTCTTGCTAGCCTGGAACCACACAGAATTCTGTCACGGTCCCCACTGCAGCCCAACAGCGTGGGATGGCTAGCCCGCACACTAGAGTGGCCTGCCCTTCTCTTGCTAAAGAAGAGAAAAAACACACGTCATCTCTGTCTGGGTCTCCTGCTGCCAGTCACTAGGGAAGAACAGTTCCCTCCCCCGCTGTGGCTTTGCCCCCACAAGACTGGGCTCCAATAAAACCCTGTTCCCAGGTGGCTGCTCCAGGTCACGCAGCTCAAGCAGGAGTTGTGTGTTGGGCCTGGAGGAAGCTGCTTAGGACAAGAGCCTGGGGGCTGAAGGGGTCTCTTTTAATTCTAGACTTTGGGAGTCACTGAGCACTATCCAAGCAGACAACCGGGCCCTGGGGGAGAAGCTGCAAAACCTGGTAAGGCCCTCAGCCCAGGACCCCCTTTCTTTGTGGTGCCTCCTCCTCCCTGCCTCCCAGCCCAGTGAGGGGGCCTCCAACAGTCCTGCCTAGGGTCGGTACCCACCTCTGGGCCCTGCAACCCTTTGTTCCAGCCGACCTTGTCATATGAGAGCCTAAGGAAGGAAGCAAAGGCCCTCCAGGAGGAGGTGAAGGCTGTCGTGGAGGGAGCCCATGCTGTCCAGGAGGATGCCCAGGCCTTCCCCGAGGATGCCCAGGC